TGCTTCTACTCATGGCAGAAAGCGGCAGGCAGCCGGCGGGTACAAGCAGATCACATGGCGAGAGGAAGTAAGAGAGTGAGAGAGAGAGAGAGAGGGAGGTGCCAGGGTCTATTAAACAACCAGCTCTCGTGGGAACTAATAAAGCGAGAACTCACTCAGGGAGAGCATTAATCCATTCATGAGAGATCTGCCCCCATAACTCAAACAGCTTCTTCCAACACTGTCACATTGGGGATCAGATTTCCGCATGAGTTTTGGGGGACAACACATCTAAACTCTATCACGTTCCTTCCCCCCACACCAATTTCAGTTCTTGGTTATACTTGGTGCCCAGATGGATGAAATGTTCGTGTGAACAGCATGATTAGGTCTGCAATTTCCTTTAAAATACTTTAGTGTAGAGAATGTGACATAAATGTGTATGTGCTTAAACTGTACTCTGGGGGCTGCCAATTCCTGGATCAGGAATTCACACTTCAAGGTGATCTCCTAATATTTTTATCGGAAAAGGCCACACCCCAGAGGTAATGACTACAGTTGCCTCAATTAGTGGCCGTATTTCTGATTCACACCAGATGCTGCTAATTAACACTTCCACAAAGGTTTTCATTAGTGAAATTAGTAGTTTGTTTAGTCAGCATAATAGATGCTAGAAATGGGCTTTTGTTGATGAAATGAGTGGTTTTTAAGCTGTGAGGACTGGGTAAAATAGTTCAGAGAAATTACTCACTTTATGAAGGGGCCCTGAAAGCTTATTCCCTAAATCTTCTTGTGTCCAGCTACTGAGTCAGGACATCTGGTGGTCCAATGTCCTCTCCTAAGAGTATTGGAATCATGCCTTTGAAATATCACTGCATACAAAGTTTCTTTACTATTGATCAAAATTATGTAAATTGAATGTGGGAACATTGGTTAGTACACACAGGAGACTTGAGTCTTGAACTACCTATGCTATCAATTAATTACAAAAGAGAGAAATGGGTTATTTGAAAAGAGGAAAACGGCAAATTTGGTGGACAAACTGTTTAAAACTAAGACCCTTGGGTGAAAAATAGTGAAAGGTATCCATACAGATACGTGCACAGACACTGGTCCTGTGGTCTCAAAAGCCTCCTGACCAAGCTGGTCCTCTTACAAATGCAGTCCTTGTCATGTGAGGGCTGGGAAGGAATATGTATGCACTGTGGAAACAAAAAATATGTCTCTGGTCTTGCTCTCTCTGCTCCACCATTT